TCCCCCACTGTCCCCAATGTCCCCATCTGTCCCCACTAACTGTCCCCAACTGTCCCCACTAACTGTCCCTAGCCATCACCACCGTGCCCCTCTGTGCCCCACTGTCCCCTACTGTCCCCATCTGTCCCCACTAACTGTCCCCAGGCATCACTGCTGTGCCCCACTCTCCCCACTGTCCCCAACTGTCCCCCACTGTCCCCAATGTCCCTAGCCATCACCGCTTGCCCCACTGTCCCCAACTGTCCCCCACTAACCCCACTGGCCCTAACCATCCCCCATGTCCCCACTGTCCCCCACTGTCCCCAATGTCCCCAACTGTCCCCACTAACTGTCCCCACTGGCCCCACTAACTGTCCCTAGCCATCACCACCGTGCCCCACTGTCCCCTACTGTCCCCTACTGTCCCCATCTGTCCCCACTAACTGTCCCCACTGGCCCCACTAACTGTCCCTAGCCATCACCACCGTGCCCCACTGTCCCCTACTGTCCCCTACTGTCCCCATCTGTCCCCACTAACTGTCCCTAGCCATCACCACCGTGCCCCACTGTCCCCTACTGTCCCCTACTGTCCCCTACTGTCCCCTACTGTCCCCTACTGTCCCCTACTGTCCCCTACTGTCCCCTACTGTCCCCTACTGTCCCCTACTGTCCCCTACTGTCCCCTACTGTCCCCTACTGTCCCCTACTGTCCCCTACTGTCCCCTACTGTCCCCTACTGTCCCCTACTGTCCCCTACTGTCCCCTACTGTCCCCTACTGTCCCCTACTGTCCCCTACTGTCCCCTACTGTCCCCTACTGTCCCCTACTGTCCCCTACTGTCCCCTACTGTCCCCTACTGTCCCCTACTGTCCCCTACTGTCCCCTACTGTCCCCTACTGTCCCCTACTGTCCCCTACTGTCCCCTACTGTCCCCTACTGTCCCCTACTGTCCCCTACTGTCCCCTACTGTCCCCTACTGTCCCCTACTGTCCCCTACTGTCCCCTACTGTCCCCTACTGTCCCCTACTGTCCCCTACTGTCCCCTACTGTCCCCTACTGTCCCCATCTGTCCCCACTAACTGTCCCCACTGGCCCCACTAACTGTCCCTAGCCATCACCACCGTGCCCCACTGTCCCCAGTGTCCCCACTATCCCCACCGGCCCTAACCATCCCCCATGTCCCCACTGTCCCCAGCTGTCCCCCACTGTCCCCAGCTGTCCCCAACCACCACCGCTGTGCCCCACTGTCCCTACCTGTCCCCAGCCATCACCTCTGTGCCCTGCTGTCCCCAATGTCCCCAACGCCCCCACTGGTCTTATTGTCTCCACTGTCTGCACCCATCACCACTGTCCCCCAGTGTCCTAAACTGTCCCCAACTATCCCCACTGTCCCCAGTCATCACTGCTGTGCCCCACTGTCCTCACTGTCCCTGACCATCCCCATCCATCTGGGTGGTGCCCGGCCATCCCCAACTGTCCCCACTGTGTCCCACCATCCCCATTGTGCCCTACTGTCCTAACCATCCCTACTGTGCCCATCCCTGCTGTGCCCCACTGTCCCAACCATCTCCACTGTGCCCATCCCCATGGTGCCCAGCTGTCCCCAACCATCCCTGATGTCCCCAACCATCCCTGCCCCCTGGCAGAGCAGCACTGGGACAGTGAAAAAATCAGACCAACATCCACCACCATCCTCCACCAGCTCCCAAGAGGTGATGTAAGACCATGGAGAGGAGTTTACCACTCACCACAAGGACTTTCCGGGGGTGGGGACATGCTGGGGACAATTACTGCGTCAGCCACCAGATCAAAACTCACTGAGCCAGCAAAAATCTTGCCCAATAACCAACCCAAAAAAAGGACAACCAAGGACCTGAGCTCTTGCTCAAGATTTGAGGAGCTTCAATATTTATTGGCGACTGTGGACAGGGCTATGGTGAAGCCCAGGGGGAGGGTGAAGGACCCCCATCAGTGGGGTGGACTTGAGTTTTTGGGGTGATGGAGAGGGGGTTGGCTTGAACCTCACTGGGTGGTAGAAATGTAGGGCTGGGAGGTGGCTTTTATTGGGCTGAGAAAGAGGAGCTGGGAAGAGGGTCCACGTTTGGGCTGGAGAAGCAGAAGAATGTGGTACTGGGTGCAAGGAGAAAGTCTTTTCCGTGCTGAGAGGCCACCACGGGAGCCAGGAGGTCCCCAGGTTTAGGTGGAGCAATGGAGGTATCTTCTCTCTATGGAACCCAGCAGGATCCCCAGGAGAAGGTGGTGGCCCAGCAGGATCTTCAGAAGAAGAGGAGAAGGTGGTGGCCCTGAGAAAAATAAACAAGCTATGTTCCAGCCCCAGAGCTACCATGCTCCTGGTCACACAATGGTGCTGACACTTTGGTTGTCCGCAGTAGACTTGGTCTTCATCTTGCTGTCCCCCATGGTGCTGCTGGGGTCATCACTCAGCACACCCCGCAGCACAGCCTTCCAGGACTTCTGGAACTTGTCCTTGAAGTCCTGGCCCATGACAACGTAGATGATGGGGTTGATGCAGCTGTTGATGTAGGCAATGCCTGTCACGATGGGGTCAGCTTCCCGGGCACCCTTGAACACTGTGCTGTAGGGGTGGGTGGAGGCTATGACCAAGCCCACCACGTGGTAGGGCAACCAGCAGACGAAGAAGCTGATGATGACCACCAAGATGAGCTTGATGGCTTTCTGGGAGCGAGCAAAACCCCTGCTGTGGATGCGGGCCAGGAGCAGGCTGTAACAAGCCGTGATCACCACGAAGGGAATCAGGAAGCCGCAGAGGAAGCGGGTGATGAAGGTGACGAGTTCAGTGAGGTGCTGGTGGTGCCCCACGGCCTGATAGTCCATGACGCAGGTGATCTTGTCCGAGAAGCCATCAAAGCGGGTGGTACGGAAGATGAAGGAGGGAAGAGTGAGGAGCATGGCCAGGAACCAGGCGGCCACACAAGCCCCCCGGGCCAGCCCCAGGGTCCTGTGGTTTTGGCACCACACCGGCTGTGTCACCAACATGCAACGGTCAATGCTGATGGCCATCAGGAGGAGGACACTGGCAAACATGTTGAGGATCGTGAGAGAGGGCACCACCTTGCAGGCGAAGCTACCCAATGGCCAGTGGTGGTCACGGGCCAGCGGTAGGGCCAGGAAGGGCAGGGCCAGGCAACAGAGGAGGTCGGCTATGGAGAGGTTGAGGAACCAGACGCCATTGACTGTGCGCCGCAGCTCAAAGCTGGTCACCCAGATGACGGCCCCGTTGCCCAGGATGCCCAGAAGGAAGATGAGAGCGTAGAGCGCCAGGATGGCACGGTAGCTGTGGGGCACTTCGTAGCCATCAAAGTCAAAGCTGGAGTAGTCATCCCAGTTGGAGAAATTGTAGGTATAATTGGATGTCGGGTAGTCCATCCTCCACCAGCTCCCAACCTAGAAACCATACTCTGTTAGATCATCACACAATGGCTTGCGTTTAGAAACCATACTCTGTTAGATCATCACACACTGGCTTGCGTTGAGGGGACCTTCGAAGATCACCTAGTCCAACCTCCTTGAGATTCCTCAAAGCCCTGTCCCCAGACTCATGAAAGGGTTTGGGTTGGACGGGCCTTTTCAAAGACCATCCAGCCCCAGCCCCTTCCTTGGACAAGGACATTTCCACCAGATCAGGTTGCTCCTAGTCCTGTCCCCAAGTTGGGACCGGATCCCAACCTGACCTTGAAGATGGGGCATCCACAACTCCTCTAGGCAACCTCATCCAGCATCTCATCACCCTCATTGTAAAACAGCTCTTCTTTCTGGCTATCATCATCATCACCTCTCCATCCAAGGGTCATCTCCCCTTGTGGTAAAGAGCCAGCACCTCCAAGACCAAGCCAGCGAGGTGCTCCTCAAAGAGAACATGTGGTGCAAGAGCCCCAAAGCACTTGGCTTCACACTGTGTCCTCCCCACCCCATCCTGGTCACCAAGGAAATTGAGGTTTCCCCACTTCCTTGCAGCATTGCCCCCAGCCTTGTGGCGCAAGAAGTTGCATGAGGAAACACCAGAGGAGCTCCAGCTCCAGCAGCTTCTGCAACATCTACTGGGTGGGTGCCCCAGGGGAGGATTTTAGTTGGGCTCTCAAGTTCTGGGCAGGGGGGGGAAAATGACCTCTTGGTGGCCAAAGTATCACCCTTAGGGTGGGGGAGAAACCCTGAAGGAGAAGCAGAAGATATAATGGAGGTGGTCTGGGACCACCCAGTGGCTGATGGACCCACCTGGAGCACAGAAAAAAAAGGAGGAGGAGGAACCACGGTGTCCCCAACCATCACCCCCACCCTCAAGAGGAGCTGCAACGTCACCACACACCCTGGATAGGGGGGGAAAATGACCTCTTGGTGGCCAAAGCATCACCCTTAGGGTGGGGGGGAAACCCTGAAGGAGAAGATGATATAATGGAGGTGGTCTGGGACCCCCCAGTGGCTGATGGACCCACCTGGAGCACAGAAAAAAAAGGAGGAGGAGGAACCACGGTGTCCCCAACCATCACCCCCACCCTCAAGAGGAGCTGCAACGTCACCACACACCCTGGATAGGGGGGGGAAATCCATCCCCCAGCAGGATGGAGATGACCCAAAGCCCAACTTTCCAACCCACCCCACCCCACCCCACCCCCCCCATCATGGCGTTGGGTGATTTTTTTAAGTCTCCGGCACCACCGTGTCCCCCCCCCGGCCCCCTCACCTGCCTCCCCGCCGGCTGCCACCGCGCGAAGAGCCGGCGGCACCGGGGTTTTATACAGCACTGGGCAGGAAGCAACGTGGCACGAGGAAGGGGGAGGTGGGGGGCACGAAAATGGGGAAATTCATCAGTGGAGGCCAAAAAGGAAAAAAAAAAAAAAAGAGGAAGAAGTTGGGGAGAGCGGGACCGGGAAAGCTCTGTCTCCAGGTGTAACAGCTGGAAAAGGAGGGATCGACAAACCCCAAACGGTGAATTTTTTTGCTCAAAGGTGACACCGGGGAAGGGCTTGGGGGGGTTGGGGGGGTCATGTCCTGCTCTCAGGAAGGGGGGGACACTCCAATTCCCAAATCCCCGAAAGTGACGAAAGTGAGAGAAATCTCAAGGGCCACATATAAACATTTATTAGTTTCCCAAATGATTAGTCCAGGTCTTAACGAGGCCACGTTAATCGGTTGGGTATAAAAGGAATTACAGCAGGAGGTACTTAAGGTCATTACGTAATGACTCTAATTGTTACTTAACGACTCGACGAGAAACCGAGGGATGGAGAAAGGAAGAGGTGGAGAAAAAGACGGAGATAAAGAGATCACGGAGCCTGGTTCCAGCGGCTTTTTCGGGGAATCTTCCCATGTTTTCTTGGGAAAAACCTTCCCAGGCATCATCCTTTTTTGGGAAAAACCTTCCCAGGCACCATCTTTCTGGGGAAAAACCTTCCCAAGCTCCATCTTTTTTTAGGAAGAACCTTCCCTGGATCAATCTTTCTTAGGAAGAACCTTCCCTGGATCCATCTTTCTTGGGAAGAACCTTCCCTGGATCCATCTTTCTTGGGAAGAACCTTCCCTGGATCCATCTTTCTTGAGAAGAACCTTCCCTGGATCCATCTTTCTTGAGGAAGAACCTTCCCTGGATCCATCTTTCTTGAGGAAGAACCTTCCCTGGATCCATCTTTCTTGGGGAAGAACCTTCCCTGGATCCATCTTTCTTGGGGAAGAACCTTCCCTGGATCCATCTTTCTTGAGGAAAAACCTTCCCTGGATCAATCTTTCTGGGGAAAAACCTTCCCAGGCTCCATCTTTCTGGGGAAAAACCTTCCCTGGATCCATCTTTCTTGGGAAGAACCTTCCCTGGATCAATCTTTCTTGGGAAGAACCTTCCCTGGATCAATCTTTCTTGGGAAGAACCTTCCCTGGATCAATCTTTCTTGGGAAGAACCTTCCCTGGATCAATCTTTCTTGGGAAGAACCTTCCCTGGATCAATCTTTCTTGGGAAGAACCTTCCCTGGATCAATCTTTCTTGGGAAGAACCTTCCCTGGATCAATCTTTCTTGGGAAGAACCTTCCCTGGATCAATCTTTCTTGGGAAGAACCTTCCCAGGCACCATCTTTCTGGGGAAAAACCTTCCCAAGCTCCATCTTTTTTGGGAAGAACCTTCCCTGGATCAATCTTTCTTGAGGAAAAACCTTCCCAGGCACCATCTTCTTCTTTATTCTCTCCAGTGGCCCTTATTTCTCCTCATCCCAGGGTTGTCTCCCCAAATCCCAGCAGTTCTGTGAGCCCCAATGAGGACTTGGGGGGGGCCTTTTCCAACCCCCCCTCGGGGTATTTCCAGCCTGGAGCATCCCAATGTGTGTCCCACGGTGACTGCTGGGACCCCCCCGTGGTACAAGGAGCCAGGGGGCTTCTCCCCCAGCCAGGACCTGCCATGTCCTCAGTGTCCCCTCCAGCAGTCCCCGGCAGGGGGGGGGGATTAAGGCAGAGCCCCCCCTTGCTCTTAACACTCCTTGATTCACACCAAAACCTCCTCTGGAGCCCCCCACGCTCCTCCTTTCACCCAAAAATAACAGGAACCCCCCCAAA